AATAATTTACTACAGAATCAAAATATAGGCTGCTATATAATGATTCATCGGATTTTTTAAAAACATTGCATGCTTTATAATAATTGATAGATTAAAATAACCAGAAGTCACCAAGTTTTCTTCGCATTACAAGTATTCTGTACGCAATTCTTTGTCACAGGGCATGACTGAGTTCGGTGCATACTTTTTGTATTTTTGTAGCATTTCCCTAACTATAGTTATCACAGCTACATTGGTGCATTCTCATAGCTCTTAGGAGGTTATACATGAAAATATATTACCTCACGTGTCTTCAAAGGAAAAAATCATTTGACAATAGATCAGAAGACTTGATGCCATGCTACAAATTACACTGAGTTCGGCTACCACTTGGGATGTGTGTTGTGTAATTAATGGGGCATATCTAGAAGGTTTGATGAGAGCTTAATGAGTTTCCTTTTCTTTTCATGCATCAGTTATTGTTGCACAGAGTTTTGAAATCTGATGAATAATTTACAATAGCTCTGTACTTAAGGTGAGTCGAATCGCGAGGAACTGGAAGATGGTCGAAGTGCTACTAATATGACCATAGGAGTTCGAAATCGCACAGAGTACTGCGTCGCGAACTTGGACAACATTACGAAGAACTGTCCGAATGCACAGGAGTGCACCTATGAGTAACCATAGCGAACAGAGAATACGTATCTTTCTATAGGCAAAGAAAAATCGACGTCAAACAGCGATAAAATTGCAAGACACGTGTAATACACTACTGAAAGTCAGAAACCTTATTTTATTACAGCTCAGAGACTATACATAGATGGTTGTTTGCTCGGCGGTCAATAAGGTCTATGAAATTAGTGCCTACCTATCAGGGATAGTGTTTTCTGTGGTGCCAGGAACAGAAAGACTGGGAAGCTCAGCAATGACCTCGATTGTCTTTATGGATGACAGCCGATTTAGTCTTGTTACTGATCCTGGATGTGTAAACACCGGAAGAAAACAAGGAAGAAGCAATCACCCCTCCAATATCGTCAAAAGGCCCATTTGAAAAGTGGAGATCTTGTTTGAAGAGGCATAATATTTGATGATCGTACGGAGTTCCACATCTTCTAAGGAAAATCATTCATTAGTAACCGCTGTTGCACCGATAGGCTTTTTCTCACGTTGCCGATGATTACTCAAAAATTCCTTAATGACTTCTCACTGAACATGAATCGGTTCCTTCCTGAGAACCCTTGAGGTGATCGTATCCCTTTTTGAGAACTGCATTTTGCTTGCTTTCCACCAGTCATATCTGGACTTGCTTTGTAACATTGTTGCTTCTGCCTTGCTGTACCTGTTTCCTACTTTTGAATAATAAAGCTCCTTTGCATCCTTTTGATTCTTTTCTAGTCAGTGATGTTAAGTTTTACCAACAATTCCCGCAGTCTTACATCTCGACAATGTTATGGTACCTTTGTAGCGATCTCACACATGGCTGCAGGACGTTGCATGTCAAAACCTGGCCCATCTTTAATTTTTGCCGACCAGCGTGTTACGAATTTGAGATATTTTTGAAGCAGTATTCAAACATAAAAAAGAAGGTAAGGAAATAGGAAATCAGTAGCTATAAATTCTATAAATTGTTAATTTAAATTTTCGAAGCTGTTTTAGTAGCAACAATGTATGTTGACTAACGATCTTGAGATCTTTAGATGACCAGATTATTAATAAACACATTAATAAACACTATAAACTTTTCTTGAAATCTTTGCTATCATATAAGAATAAAATTAGTTTAGCCGAGAGCTGCGGGCTTTGTGTATACATCTAATAAAATTATAATTTCCTTTAAATTATAATAATAATATTATAATTTAAATTATAATAATAATTTAAAGTATTATAATTGGAATTAATTAGTTTCTGGAATGAATAAAATTACGCCGATATTTAAGCTCATAATTTTCAATGATTGGCGCATGCTCAACTCCCATCTTGGGAAACAAATGAAGGATATAATGGTTACTAATACCAGTGAAATGTCTTTTATAGACTAATGGCAAAATTAGTTTAGCCGAGAGCTGCGGGCTTTGTGTATACAACTAATAAAATTATAATTTCCTTTAAATTATTAAATTATAATAATAATTTAAAGTATTATAATTGAAATTAATTAGTTTCTGGAATGAATAAAATTACGCTGATATTTAAGCTCATAATTTTCAATGATTGGCGCATGCTCAACTCCCATCTTGGGAAACAAATGAAGGATATAATGGTTACTAATACCAGTGAAATGTCTTTTATAGTCTAATGGCATAATTTTTTTAAAAAAATGGAGAAATAAACTGTGATAACAGTTTTTGTATTTGAGAAAAAAATTGCACGCTTGAAATATCCGCATGAAAAGCTCTGGATTTATCAGTTACTTTCCTTAGTCTCTACAGCATTATTCTCAATCCCCAATCACTAACTACTTCGGGGGGGGGAGAAGGCAAGAAGGAAAAAACCCCGCTAAATTAGAAATGGGTAAAAATATATCTATCAAGAGTAAAAAAATGAGCTGTAAGATTCTGCCATTTTTACGGCAGAAAGTCACACCTCTGTACCATCTAAATATTTTCAGAGTCGTGTTTACTGACATATCCCGTCTAGTGGATTTGGCAGTGAAGTAGCAACTTTCACAAAAACCATGATGAAGAAATGTCATTTCCCGAATGTTATCGTGCGCGTCGCCTGGTTGTTTGGTGCCGGCTACCATGGCAACCGAAAGGTGGTACCGGTGAGTGCGTCACGTGACCTACACGCACGTATGACCGCCTTTTATTAAAAGGAATCCAAGGGATCAACCACACATTAAGATTTTATGAGTAAATGAGCAAGCTACGCTTTGAAACAAAGTAAATCTTGTACTTGCCACGTATTTGAAATGCACTGCCAAAACTCTGAATGACTACTTGGTTAACACTTATCTGCAGTATGTATGAGGAATTTGATACATTTAAAATAATTTGACGAAAAAAAATTTCATTCAAAAATTTCAGGGGGGGAAGACGTTATACAGATTTAACAAACAAAAACTGCAAAAAATTTTACTTTCCCCCCCCTCGAAATTTTCAAATTTTAGTGACAAGATTATAATAGGACTGGAACTGCCAAGAGCTTCCAAGGCATTTTCTTTCTATGCTACTTAGTCTGCCTATAAACTACAACTCTGGAAATTTGAAACTTCACACACATAACATGAAATTTTCATTTCTTCAGTTTCCTTTAAAGATGAATAAATATTTTCCTGGGTTATGCGCAAAGGCAGATTTTTAAGTTTTAAGAATGAACCTGTCTTGTTAGGAAAAAAGGAAAGAAACGAATGAATGCTTCTTTTTAGCCGAGATATGACAAAAATACATGCAGGTAAAATGGAAGCCGGGATGCAGCTTCAAAAGAGGTCGGATATGTGGTATCTGACCGGATATTTTCCACTGGCTTATCGAAAGGTAATGAATTAATGAATAAATTCGATATATGTTTGGAGAAATCTCATTTTGGATGCTATTTTTTATTTAAAATATCGGTCGAGTTCGGAATATTTTTTACAAAAAAATGAAAAAAGTAGATCAAAAGGGTTTCAAGGAAAATGTGTTGCCCCCACCCACTATATCCGAAACAAAAAGTGCTCTGTTGCAATTCATTTCCACACATAAAATAACCACATTTACTTCCACACATAAAATAACCACATTCACTTCCACACATAAAATAACCACAAACTACTTTTGGGCACTGAATAAGGAACTTAATATATGGATTGTTCAATAAGATATGAAATTTACTGTTTTCTTTCCATTTATTCATTTCGATTATGTTTGAAAAAACACTTAAAAAAATAAAAATGTAACTTAAAAAAAAAAAGATGGGGAAGGAAATTAAGACGGAAATTTTTATTTATATTTATACGTATAAAAATATTTACCACATAAGAAGGCAGTGATCTCGAAATCAAATTCCATGTGGGTCGAATGCACGTTCTAAAAACCTGACGCTACAGAATTTTTTAATAAAAAAATGAAAATTTTTATTAGTAAAAATAAAGACATTTGAAATAAATTTTAAATTTCACTTACGTCACAAAGAGGAAAAATTCAAATATATATATTCTTTCTATCTGAAATCTAAAGTTTGGTACCTGCAAGACATTATTGTTGGTTACAATTTGTAGTTCAAATATACCGACAGCCAAATAAAATTTTTTTTCCATCACACAAATAAAACACATATATTTGTAAATGAATGGTTATAAACTTCTTTACTGTGTACTATAGCTTGATAATTGATGGCGGTTTGATTTTGTAACCTTGGAAAGAAATGACTGAAAATTATCTTCACCAAGGATTGTAGATGCTCATCGGTCGATTGGGTTCATTTCTTATTCTTATTCATCATTAAAAAAAGTTATTCACATATAAAACGCGTAGGGAGGGCAAAAATTCGTAATGCAGCCATTTTAATTTTTGACAAATACAAATAAAAGTTAATAAAATCTGTATCTTCATATCTTTGAATAAGATTTATGTCGCATTGTAAATTAATTAGCTCCATTTATAGATAATTTGGTCAGTCATGTTTTGTTTTAAGGGTAATGAAATGAATGTAAACGCTGACTTCAAGTAACTAAAATCTTGAAATCTTTGCAACACTTAATTGAAAGTTGTATTCGCTGGCCGCCAGTTTAATTAAGACCATTCACTTAAAGTATTTCCGGCCCCCTTCATGATCAAAATAAAATGTAATGCAATATTATTTAGACAAAGGCATTCCTGTTGTATACAATAATAATGAATTATTGTACAAAGTATTCCTTTTTGTTATTTATGAAATACAGAAAAGTTCAGATTTCTTTAATACATAGCACATGACTTAGGTATGAATAATATTCTTAACAATGTGATAAGATGAATGAAACATTCATTTATGCATGAATGAAAACAATACAAAAATGCTCTGAATTTCAAAAAATAAGATTCTAATTTTCGTTTTAGATTCTGTTGAGAAGAAATCAAGTTAAAAGAAGAGTCGGCCCACTGATGGATCACGGCGCCCCTTGGAGTTCATTCTACCCGAGTTTGGAGGAGAGAAATTAAAAATTCCACCATATGAAGTCCTTTCATTTTCTCATTAAAAGCGCCACGGTCCAACCCACTGTGGCCTCTAATATTTTTCGAGCTTATGAATGAGCAGTTTTAATAGCTGTGCTTGATTAACTTTGACCTCGACTGTAAAGTTTTATAGCCTCTCGTGAACTTTCTTTCATCGTGAAGTACTCAGACGAATGACTTAAAAACGAGGGGGTATGAAGAGAAGAATATTATTTCAGATTGTGGAATGTTAACAGCAAGCACGAATCTGGCTTTATAAATGTTTTTAAAAGTTTCAATAGCTTTTTTGAAGTAAAAAATTATCTACTAAATCTTAAAAATTTTTCGATAGATCACTTTTTTAGAATTTCTGTCAAATTAATCGCATATTTGTTACATTTATATTTATGAGGAAAGAGTGTTAATGTAGTATAGTAAAAATATTCTAATGTAGAGACATTAGACATTAACATTGTATTAGTTTCATTTATATTTATAGCGCAACAGTATTAATATGTTTTATAACAAAAAATAAAAAATAAAGCAACCAAATTCTGGCAGTGTATTTAACCAATTTGTTACTCCCTTCCAATACCGTTACTAACTTAATCTTGTATTAGTTTTTAATTTATATTTATAACAGAATAGTATTATTATGTTTTATAGTAAAAAATAATAAAGCAATCACACTCTTCCAGGTCATTTAACTTATTTTGTTAGTTTCATTACCACTACTAAATTAATTTTGTGTTAGACTCATTCATTTTTATAATAAAACAGTATTAATTCGTTTTATAACAAATAAATAAATAAATAAACAAACTAGACTCAACAAGTGCAATTAAGTCATTCTGTTATTCTCTTTCAATACCGTTACCAAACAATTTTTGTATTAGTTTCATTTATATTTATTGGGCAACAGTATTAATGTGTTTTATAATAAAAAATAATAAAGCTACCCAATTCTGCAGTGTATTTAACCATGCTGTTACTCATTTTCAGTACCGTTATTAAATTAATCTCGTATTAGTTTAATTTATATTTATAAGGGAAATAGTATTACTATGTTTTATAATCAAGAATAATAAAGCAATCACACATTTAACCATTTTGTTATTCTGTTTCAATACCGCTACCAAATTAATCTTGTATTAGTCTCATTTATATTTATAAGGGAATAATATTAATTCGTTTTGTAGCAAAAAGAATAAAATAAGCAAACTCAGCTACTGCATTTAACTCACTCTTCCAGCCAGTGCATTCAATACCGTTACCAAATTTTGCCCAAGCAAAATAAAAGCGGATGCAATTTATGATATGTGAAGTTACTTTCATACAACGATTCACAAATTATACGTATTAAAGCATCATTTATCATTTTCTGATTAAATGGCGAAAGCATTTCTTCTAAGGAGCTGTAGCATTAATAACTAATTGTAAAAATAAAATATAGTAATAGCAAAAATAAATAATTACGATTTAAGCTTGGTAAAAAATATTCGCCAAATTAATCATGCTGTAAATCTAGATCCTTACCCTTTTTAATGAACAGGAGAACCGTCCTTCGTTACAAAGTACGTTTCGCGCCATTTCGGTAGTAAGAATTCCATTGTATATTTTGCTGAAGTTTTGCCAAGACACTTCTATTCTTAAAATCTTGAGCAAATAGTTCAGTACACGGTTTCGACGAATTATACTTGGCACGGTACTCAACAACGAACACGCATTGTTTAGCAACATTTCGTGTTGCATTCAACTGATATCGAAACAACATTTGTTCCGAATTCTGACGAACTCTTTAGAGTACACTTTCATCAAATTCCAAAAGCATTTTCCCGGGACATTCTAAAAGCATTTTTCCAGTTCGTTTTGCCCACCCTGTATATAGTATAACCGCAAATGCCAAATATAAAACGAAGTATACACGCATATAGGTAGCTATTAAAATATGTTATATTAATAAGGAAAAATTTTTAATTAGTGAGCGTTTTTTAGAGCAGCTAATAGGTTGTGCAGATCTTTTCAAAGAAAATTCTTTCGATATGTTCTAAGATTTCTAAGACTACTTTTGCCTCTCAAGTATTTCTCCTAGTCATCTAGTGATCTTTACAACTTAATATATTATGTAACTTTATTTTAGTATTTATAAGATGCTTCTTATAAAACTGAATAATAGGACATAGAATAACAAGCTCTAGTGACAAACAGCAAATTTCATACTTCATCTGACATCCATTTCTTCTAAAACTACCTACCCTTTTCGGGGGGGGGGTACTATCTCTTTCGAGAATAAATAATATTTATGCACATGCACTTTGTTTTCATTCTAAATACAGCAGGCATGTAGTGCCATCTGTTGAGCAAAATAGCAGACTTAAAGAAATGAAGAAATGAAACATAAATGTATTTATTATGTTTTGCAGTCATACTCATGCAATATTATTTTATAACACTAAAACTTGCTGCAATAATTTTTCCTCCTTTCCATTAGCAAATGAATTGTATTGCCTGGGTATCACTGATACCATACAGAATTGCCACAAATATGGCAAAATTTATCCGAAGTAGTTAATAATTATACCTTAAATTCCTCATTGGTAATCTATTATATTGAAAGGGAGATTAAAGTGACTGAATAATTTTTTATCCAAACTTTTGTGCCAAGAAACTTGCCATTTGAGAATAAGAAACAGCAGCAGAGATTTTTTTTTTTTTTTTTGAATAATAACATTAGGAGACAAATAAATGTATGTACAATTATTCAGAGTGCAAAATTCTTTTTTACGATAAAAGATTATGTGCATGATGTGTAATCATTCAATACGAATATCGATTTTATTAGATTGACGAATCTACTATATTCATTAATTAAATTAAATAATCCCCATTCTCACTGCGTCTTCATCAAACACAATGAAGTATATTAATATATTAATTCTTGATACAGTTCCACTGGAATGTTTCCTAATAATTGAGGAATTATGAAAGCTAAGAGACATAATGAGAAAAATAATCATATAAAAATTTTATTGAGCTTTACGCTTTCTGCACAGTCTTCTTTAGACCAGCATTCACATTTTAAAATAATATATATTGCATTATTTCTTTGCATCAGGGGTTGTCAACTAGGAGGGAATTCCCCCCCCCCTATTTATGGTTTCAGTAGAGGGAATGCGGTCAGTTTTTAAGTATTTAGTTTTATTTTTTTAATACAAAAAACTACTTTTATTCAAGTTTTGGTACTTATCAGCATTTTTTAATTTTTATATTTTTTCTTTGTTTAATTTATAAAAACATGAAAAAGTAATCTAAATAAATGCATATATCTTTTTCGAGTTTTAGATAGGAGGGGGAAATGATCTCCTAGCAGCTGTGAAAGCGGTGCATGGGGTGAAAAAGATTGAGAACCACGGCTTTATATTATAAACACAATCACAAGAGTGACTATACAAGATCCCTGCCAAAGCTTAACAGACAAAAAGAGTTTCGCAAAAAATGAGTAGGGGTTACACTATTTGTTTCAGAAATCACGTGAGATCATCAGTATCGCAAATCGAAACACATGCACTAACCCTGTTGTGCCCCAAAGGATGCTGGAGCATTGATGTGGAACAACTACGGACCATAAAGTCGTAAAATGAAAAGAACACTATGAATATCAATATGATTATATGTCTTATCTCAGCGACCAATAAAACAACATAACATCAAAAATTTTTCGCATGAGGTGTTTAACTAATGGAAAATCACATTTTCATTCATAAGTGAGACTCCATATTGCAAATAACAATGTAGATGGATCGATTAATCATAATATCACATTAAGGATTAATCTGATGTCTGTGCGATATCTTGAAACGTACTGAATACATGTGTAGATAAGCAAAATTTATAGTTTTTGTACTTTAAAGGAAAAACGATAAAAAAAAAATTTAATTCTTCCGCAATAAATATTTTGAAAATACAAGGAAAACTACTTGGTTAAATGTCTCAATCTGAGCTTCAATGTTGTTAAAAAAAGAAAGGAAGAAGGAAAGGAAAAAAGAAAGAAATCTGCTTGCGTAAGATGGGATTCTGCCAAACCAGAGCTAAAATTGAAGAAGAATAAAAATACATTAATCTTGCCAAAGAAGAATTAAAATTATGCCCACCATCAGATGGAAATTATCTTAATTTTAAATCCAAATAAAGAAATTGTGTATTTTACATAACATAAATTCCAATTTAATTTGACTACCTATGCCCTTTTGTTAGATTGCATTGCTAATCTTGCAGAAAAATAAGATCAGATCTTGCAGAAATATTTTCTTTTTAGAAGTCAATATTTAAATTTTTTATTCTGATAAAAAATATTATGAAAGCTGATCTGCATCACGTAAATACAAGTCAATCATCTCTGGAAATCTTCCTCCCACATTTCCTATTACCTGACATAGGACTCCGGCTCTGGAACTCAAGCTTCGTGGTCTGCGGACATATAAACTCACTCCAATTACCTCTTCCTATTATTAATTAGTTTAACAAGTTGTGGGTTTGGCTAGATGAGGCAAAAGAGAATAATAAGCAAAAACAATCTGATTACTTTTTAAAGTAACTTGCGGTATATTACGAAATCAAAGAATTAATTTACACTTGTTTGTCATTTACTCGTCTCTTAACAACAGAAAGGATTACTCAGCTTCACAGTCAAAAAATGGAAATATGATACTGAATCTTCAAGTAATAAAACAGCTTAAATCTCATTAATTCTATTCACCACGTAAAATGATTAATCATTTTCACATAATTATTCGTTAACAATTAAGTTAAAAGGAGTTTTATATTGAAAAACTCATAAAAGAAAACTTGCATTATTTAAAATAAAATAGAATTAGTATACATGTTTTAGAAGGCAGTATTTTTTGCAAATTTCATCCGGAAATTTTATAAACTTCTAAAATTTTCGCAAATTCATTTGTGTTGTAGGCAAAACGTTTAACGATTTCAAGCGTTAAATCACCTAACTGCAATAACAAATTTAAATTAGTCTTAATTGCGGTATTTTTGTAATATAGTTTAAACAAATTCATATTGACAATAACAGCCACAAGGAAAGCAAGTTCTTAAATTTGATCTGAAACAGTATTTTAGAAGTTATTTTATTAAATAAATTTTGAAATGACTATTAATGGGTTACATATAGAATTTTGAATGTGAGCGAATTAAATTATATATGTTTATTATTTGTCGCAAAATGCATTCTCCCTAATTAGATTTAATGTAAAGTTGTTGTAATTTAAGTGTTTGAAAAGTCTATATTTCAGAGATTTAATGAAATTTTGCCTTCCTCTATCGGAAAAAGGCTCTCTCAAACAAATTAAAAACTAAAAATTTATTTCTAATGCTCGGATTCTCAAGGCGAAGTTTCTGATTTAATTTTAGTCGTTACGATAGTTGAATATTACTTCACTGATGTAGTGTCGCCATCTAGTGAACATAATATTAATCAATAGCTGAAAAAGCATCCGAAAGATTGTAATAACATCTAATATAGAGATTGGTAATAAAATCATCCATTTTAGTTTTCAATTGTAATATTTTTTAATAATTTATTGTTATTTCAATCAATGCATGTAACTTATGTAATGATAGCACAAATTTAAGCAATTATAACATTTTATGTTATTATTACTTTATGATTAAATCTAAATTTAAATAACTGCCTTTCTAAGTAAATAATTTGAAAAAAATAATTTTGTTAAATTTTAATCTATCTACGATATATGAAATATAATTTCAAGTCATATAAATATTAAAGACAGGTTGTTTTTGTTTTATTATTATATTTCAGCAAATTATATACCTTTAAATACGTCTTAATTAGCAAAAATTAATTAAAATTTCACAGGAACTTCCCAGAAATTATTATAAGACTTTTGTGTATAGTGGAATTTAGTAGATGAAAAATGCAATTTTCATAATTCTCTTTATTATATACACTGTGCTTTTACAAGTTCACAACAGTAAACAAATACGATCTTTTTCCTTAAAAATAAAACCACTCACCAAAATAAAATAAAAAAATTTCTGTCTGTATAGAACAATTTAAAATAAAATTAAAAATTT